AGCTAGTTCTTGCCAAGTTCATCTTCCGGGGGCTACAGCCATCACCACGATTCCTCCATGGTCCAAGATGTGGACTGACCCAGATACTGGGGTCACCATGCCCATGTCCAATTACTGCTCTAGGCACTAGGACATCTGAGGGTGATGCTAGAGCTAGAAAGGAACCTGAAGATTATCTAGTCTAATGGCCTTATTTTACAGATGGGGAAACTGAGGTCTGGTGAGGGGAGATGACTCACAGCCACCTTTTGCCATAGAGAGGATGCCAGGCTGTGGAGCCTTTTATGAGGTTCTTCTCACACATTTGTGTTCAAAATATTAGTTTGGAAGCTGGAAAATAATGTCATTTCAGAATTGCCAAGAGAAGACTTGGGAGGCAAACTGAATTCCTTCCCTTCTAGGAAAGACCAGGCCACCTAATTCCTTAGAGAGTCTAGAGATTGACTAATTGAGCCATCCACCCATCTACCCGCCTGGCCAGCCAATCAGCAGGCTCTATGCCAGGCCTGGTCAGGCACGTACTGTGCCTGGTCAAGGGACAAACACCAAGCTCCTATCTTCCTGGGTTGTGCAGGGCCTTGATGGCCAAGCTAAGGAGTTAGGACCACAGCCAACAGGGATCCACTAAAGGGCTATGTTTGTCTTCCTCTCTCACAGACCCTTCCAATTCTGCCTTGACTCTAAGCTAGGATTCTTGACAGTTCTGTATCCAAGAGATTTAAAGTTTATTCTTTAATGCAAAAAATCCTTTCATTGAACACTGCTTGTTTTAACACACTTTCTTTCGACCAATGCTCCTTGGCATACAGATGGGGAAACAGGCCTGGAGAAGAAGAGTGAACAGAGGAGAGCAAGTTCCTGTGGGAAATGGGTGGAGATCAGGTCCGGGGCCTCAGCTCCCTGCCCACCCGCTGGAGGGCTGCCACTACCAGTATGGGGCGGGGAACTGGCAGAGGGGTTAGCTTTAGAAGAGGTGTGCTGTCCAAGTGCAGACTCTTCACAAGCTGCTCAGGAAAAGAGGTGAGAGGCCAGAACCACTGAAAGGATGAGTCTTTGGACAAGGGTCATAGTGAACCCATATCTGACACAGCACTCTCAAACATATCCCTGCACTGTTTCCTTATGAGGAGGAGGCTGGACAAGCAGGCATTTCTCTCCAAGAGACAGAAAAATCCATGGAGGGTCCTGGGCAAGCTGGTGGCCAAGCAGGCACTCAAAGCCGGGATTCTGGCCTCTCAGGAAAGACCTACACCTTAGTCTTACTCTCCCTTTTAGGATATTGTCATTTTAGGGCTTGTAAAAAAAATAATTAAGGGAATTCAAGATAAGGTGCTGACATATAGGCTCCCAAATGATCTCTCTCTCCTTAACCCCACTACAGCCCTGACAACAGGGCATTGTAATTATCTGCCTACAGCACTGCCTCAGTGCCCTCTCCTGCAGAGCTGAGCTCCTCAGGGAGGGCGTGGCCTTATTCTGCATCAGGTTCTCAGAGCTTGAAACAGGGCCTGGCAAATGTTCCTTGCATGAATGTATGAGCGGGAGAGTTTGATGATCAGATTGCATCCCCAAGAGGCTGGAGCCTACTAGGGGTCAGTGATGTAGGGCCACAGAAGAGAAGAAATAACATCTGTGAAGCCTTCACCTTGAGACAGGCTACAGTGGACGTTAAGATCTCCATTTTACAGGTGAGGAAACTGAGCCTCAGGGAGGCACAGTGACAAAGGTGGGGGCATAAGGCCTGGGGCTCCCTGAAGCCTTACCTCTCAAAGTTCGTTGGTCCTAAACTGTTCTCCAAGTCTACCGCCACCCACCGTTTGAAGCCCTTTCCTAACATCCCAGAGGGAGACCAAGGGTTTCTGTCTGAAGGCTTCAGCTGCTGCTGAGCCAGCTTCCCTCCTCTACCTTGAGCCCACTCTAATCGAAGTTGTTCTTAAGATACGGAATTCTCCCCCTGAAGCCTGGCAGACCACATTCTGCCCCGCTTTTGGTCTTCAGGAAGACATTGGGGAGAGAGGGTGCCAGGTTGACGGTGGACAAGTTGCTCTTAGGATCACCTTCTATCCCTCGCTGAGGAGAAGACTTCTTAGTTCTCCCCTCTTTTCAGAGCAGTGACCCTTCCACCCATGATGGGGGGTGAGGGGGTGAACTCTGCATTGGGTGCCAGGAGACTGGGTTCCGGCTCTGCCAGCTGACTGGATACAGGTGACAACTCTTCTCTGTCCTCCTCTCTCTCCAGCCTACTCTTTCTCCTGTCTCGCCCCCCTCACCCACCATGGCTCCTTATAGCCACTTCTCCCCATTCCCAATGGTCTGGACAGGGAAATGGCTTTCTCGACAGCACTGCTGCTTTCACTGCTAATGTGCTACCTGTCCCCTACTACAAGAATCCCACCCAAAATGCTGTTCTGATTGGGTCACCCACTATTTCCATCAGATCCTTGTTTTGTGAAGGCCCCAGTCAGATGGAAACTGAAGAGTTCTGAGGACTGGGTTTTGGGGCCTGCCACCAGCATGTCAGCGTTAGACCCCCTCAGTATCTCCCAATACAGTCCTCTAGCTTTAAACAGACTGACTCTATCCCAAAAAGCCTTTTTAGGTTCTGATGCTAGGGCAGCCAGATACTGGTGGTCCTTCATTTTACTTTTAGCCCAAACTCTTTAACTGTAAGCACAGAGATGCTTGATCAGATGGTGAGAAACAACATCTCATTTATTATTTCATTGCTCAAACTTTTATACTTGTCCTCAGGTTTCTACCTAAACATCCATCTTCCCTAGCCTACATCAGATCCCCTCTTAGACTCTCTCTTATAGCACCTGCCACAATCCATAGTTATATACATATCTGCCCAATGTCATCCCCTTTCCCATTAGCCTGACGACTCCCTGATGGCAGGGACTGTCCACCTTGCCCACCGTTTGGTCCCAAGGCCTAGTCCTGCACGGGATGGTGACAAGTACCCATTGATTGAATAATAATGCTGGCCCCTTGGAGGTGGGAGGAGCCCAGTCTCTACAAAAGAGGAAGTCTGCCTAACACCAGCACTAGCACTCAACAGAGGGCTGAGCGAAGTGCTCTAGGCAAGCGGATCTCCAGGGAGAGGGAAGAAGTCCAGGGAGGCTTCCTGACTGACAGAGGTGTACCTGGGCTTACATGTACACTGACTACTGCAGAAAGCACATGCAGACTGTCCTGCAAAGGCACTACCACCATTCCAGAGCTCAGTCACCTTCCTCAAGTGCATCCAGAAGGACCCTAAGATCCTAGGAGAAAGGATTTCCAGTATATTAGGGCTAGGAAGACTATGTTTGCTCCAAAGACCACCTTTTACCTATAAGGACACTGAGGCCAAGAGCAGGGCACAGACTTAGGCCTCACGGGGTCTTGTGGTTACCAGGTACCACGTGAGCAACCATTTCACACCAGGAGCCACAGCGACCTGCAGAACTGCAGAGCGTGGTTCTCTAAGGCCTGGTGCCCCTGCCCTTTTCCAGAAGAGGCATCTACTCTTCCCCTTCCTGAAAGGTGTTGCAAGAAGGCGGCAAGGTGCTGCCAGGGTGGCCTTTGCAAGGCGGAAGGCACTGTTGGGCAGACAGAAAGCTGATGTGGCAATCACCTTGGGAGGGGGTAGGCTGCAGGCTCCCCACTGTAAAGGGCCACAGATCTTTCAGAGGGAGGCCTGTCTGTGACTCTTAAAGGGGATTGACATAAGAGAGCAAGCTGCTTTCTGAGGGAGAGCAAAATAAGCAATAATCTTGGCTTCATTTATCACCCAGGTGCCTCCACAAGAGAGTGGAGCCACAAAAGCCTTTTTTGTTTGTTTGTTTTGTTTTTGGAATTTGCAACTATTTTCTTAAGTCTTCCCACTAGGCTAGAACAATGCACTCCCGGAGAGTCAGGCCTGGGTCTTGGCCCTGAAATCCCCAGCAAGCCTAGTACAGGGGCTCGATGTTTGCTGAACAAACCATCCTTTCCATGTGTATGACTCCTCAGCTTGTCAAGACTTTGCTGAACCGTGAAATACATTCAGAAACCCAGAAAAGAATTCAGAAATAAAAGCACAAAAGAATCAGATAGGAAAAATACTCAGCAGATATAATCAATAGACGTTTGGTTCTTTGAAAATACCTTTAAAATGTACAAACCTTTGGCAAGTTTTGATCAAGAAAAGAGAAAGCACTGATAAGCAACGCTAGGAATGAAAAAAGGGATAAACTGATGATGGGGAGATTTTAAAGGGCAGGAGAAAACTACACAAAACTTTATAGCAATCAATTAAAAATCTAGGTAAAACAGGTAACCTTCTACGAAATTACCAAATCCCTTTCACAACTGTTATCTCAATAAACCCTCACAATAGCCCTGTGCCTTGGACAGGCAGTGCTTTCTAGAAGCACTGTTATGCTTTCTAGAAGGAGGAGAGATTGAGAGGTGGACACCCAGCACAGGGCCCTGACAAGCTACCCTGCTTTGTCTCAAATGTCACAGGCACGGGAGCACGTGCACATCGACGACACGGAACTCCACCACTCTCGCGCTTCCAGCCATCGCCTTAAGCCCCCTGGTTGGACAGCCTGCCTTATTTACTTTTCCACTTGAAATGCCTTAAGGGGTTTCACTTTATTTTTACTTCAAAAGCAGCACCGTAAAAATCCTTGATGATTAGAGTTCCAGCTGTCTTAAGTTGTTTGTCAAGGGATCGGTTACTCAAATCTCCTATGGAGGAAAACAGTTTCAGGCGAGAAGCCATGGGAGCTGAGAAAGGCAAATGTCTCATCTCTGAAAACTTTCAGACTCCCTCCTGTTCACCGCCTGGCCTGCCCCCTGCTCCCCTTCCACCAACCCCACCATCTGCTCTCCAGAGAGCAGATCAAATTTTCGGGCTAAGGTACTCTGGCGCCAAGGACTCAGCCCCTCCATACCACTCCCTGCCCCCCACCAACTCAGAAATCCAACACCATGACCCAAATGGACTGCAGCCACATAAAACCACAAAGTAAAGTTTATAAAGCTTTATTAAACATTTCAAACAGCTGTGCAACGAACACACCAGAAATAAAAGCTCCAGAATAGCAGTCCAAATGTTCCACAAGTGTGGCCTCGCGGTCCCATTCCCTAGATGGACTGCCTCCAGTTCTGTCCTCTGCCTGGCCCACTTCCCTCCCCCCCTCAGCCAAGAGAAAGGTGGATGGTTTAGACTGGAAGGACAACCACGCTGATCCCCAGTGGGCAGGGCAGGAGAGAGTCTCATTTGCCAACACTTGTTACTGAAGTGCAGAAAAAGAAAATAGCAAGTGACAGTCACAAAGTCTTCCTGTGTATTCTTCACAATGTACAGTCTATATGCGCAGGACTGAAGAAGCTCCTGGCGCGAGGACGATGGCCACTGCTCCCCTCTGTCTTGTCTGAACCACCTCGGAGTCCAGTGTGCTGGTCACTCTGCAATCCCCACGCTAAATAAAAACTGTAGCGGCACCTACTATAGCTAGCTATTGCTAAACCTCAAAATCAGAACAACGTTCGATGAAGCTTCTTTAAAAGGAATATACACACATATTTGTACACGTACACACACGCACGGCACACCAAAATATATCCAAACATCTATCAAGGGGATCATGGCTGTTATGAAACACAAAAGTACTCTCCCACTTACTCGGCTGGGGACTGCTAGATCTATGTGAACACACCACACCTCAATCCTGCAGAGCATGCACGGGAGACACAACGAGGGCCCCCTCCTCGGGACAGTGGAGAAAGGCAGGAAGAAGGGCAAAGGAAGTGAGGCTAGGCTGGTAAGCATGAGCCCAGACACCCAGGTCAAAGAGCAACATGTATCTGTTACTTCTTTCTTAAAAATGAAGTGGAGAAAATACTGGAGATTTGTGGACAACAAACCGTCAAGACATATTTCTGCCTAGCCTGCTGACCAGGGAAAGGACAATGAAAAAGCGAGGCTCTCGGGCGTCAGCAATCTCTTTAAATTCGAGATAAGTGCAAAAATGAGCCCTGTCTTGGACAGGTGCTCCCCTAAAAAGGAAAGGGGTAGAAAAGAACTAAAGGGAAACCAGGAGAGAGACTAAGGAGACGGTAGCATTCTGGGAAGGGAACAGACTCTGTCAAGGAGGGGTCATAGAGGTGACAATGAGACTGGCGTTTTATCTGCCCAGGTCATAGCCGGCCGGTTGACCGGGATGGGCACAGACTCCTCGCAGAAATGAGGCGAGGGGGGTGGCCATCCTGCCAGCTGGGGACCAAGATGGGGACAGAACAGACACAACCACAAGACCATCCACGACTACAGGACTCTACAATAAAAGCACCGGTCAGTGCCATTATTCACATTATAAGGATAAAACATCACAGGCCAAAAAGGCGCCGTCAGGAATGTGGCACCCGCGGGGCTGCGGGATTTGAAACTCCAATGCTTTATGACCTATGTCAATGCCTCCCCTCCCGTCTTCTGCTTCCTTGGAAAGCTAACTGGGCGGGCTGTTAGGTGCCCACAACGCCGGGGTCGTGCGCCGATTCCGGAAGCGGGGAATCAGAGCAGTGGTACAGGAAACAGTTTCCCCAGCAGCTATAGCAGATGAGGAACAGGGCTGCTAGGAAAACCAAGGCACAAATTGTGCAAGGCTTCCGCTCCAGGAGGAAGCTGAGCAGGTAGAAGCCCATGAACATGGAGTGGCTGAACCACAGGGCAGGGTTGAGGGGCTTGGGGATGAGGAGGACGGGCAGCAGCCACTGGAGGCAATACATGATCTCTGCCGGGCAGGGCCTTCGCCAAGGCCGCCGGGCACCGCTGCAGGAACCGACCTAATGGGAGCCAGCGGGCGCGGGCGGCTGCCCTCCGCTTTCTTCAGCCCTCACTCTCCAGGAGCTGAGCCGCTGTGCTCTCTGGCTGTCAGCCCGGGATCACCAAGGCAGCAGGGATCCTGAAGAGAAAAGTCAACACAACAGACAAACAGACAAAAAACAGACAGACAGACAAAAAAAAAAAAAAAAAAAAAAAAACAGGAACAGAATGTATACTTATTTGGGAAAATGGATCATGGTTAACAACAGCAAATGTGAATGCCCTTTCCTCCCTGCCCACCCATGGAAGTCTACTCCTCTCCAAGTCACCATTTCGGGAAGCCTCCTGGGGTGTCTCCCCCGGCTTCTCAGGGGCTCGGAGAGGGCTCTTCCGGCAGGTCCGGCACAGTGGACTGGCTTTGCCTGGGCCCTGCCCAGCAGAGATCATGTATCGCCTCCTGGGGCTGCGGCCCGTCCTCAAGGGGCCCAGACCTCACAACACCGCCCTGTGGTTGCCACCGGATGGCCATGGGCTCCGGGCTGTGCCCCCATGGAGTAAGGACAGGGGTCTGTGGCTAGTGTCTCCCACAGCAGGTGCTCAGTGGAGAGTTAAAACAGCGGTGCACTGCCTGCCGGAGATCTCAGGCAATGGATCTTTGCAAGCCCCTGGAAGCTGCAGCGGCAGCACCCCAAATATTTTGTTTTAAGATGGCAGCCTGAGATGAGCTTGCCTTTTTCAAATAGCCCAGCATCATTTTGCCAAAACCAGCCAACTTCTTCGAAAGACGACGTAGAAAAGAACAAAATCAGCATGGGACTTCATCCACACTGACCTTGCTTGGATCACTTACACCTCCATCTGCTGCTGGCACTGTATAGAACCTGACCTCGATGAGCTTTCAATCAACATTAATTTTCTATCCACACATAGGGGCAAACTCCAGTTGGCCCCTGTGCCAGGCAGCTTGCTGGAGGGAGATGCTCTTGAGCGGCGGGCCACCGGCGCAGCGAGGCTGCGCTCGCAAACCGCCTTCCGGTGTTCCCGCCGCGCCTGGCAACAGCTGTGGCAGCCACAACCCTCTGGTGGCAGTAGTAGCAAAACCCCGCTCCCAACTCCAGCCACCCGGCGCACGGGTACATGAAGATCCCCGCTGGCTGAGGAAGACCTACCAGGGCCTGGGGGGAGGGGAGCAGAAAACAGAGGTTGAAATGACCTGTCCAGCAGAAAACAATCCCAGAGCACATTCCAACCACTTCTCGGGAGAGCTCATCCCATCCCTTCCGCGCATACAAAGGTGCCAATCCCGCCCGCATCCCTCCCACAGTGTAGACACCGATTACCACCGCTTTTGCGCCTAGAGCTCAGCGCCCTGCCTCGGCCCCCTACCATCGCCACCGCCGTAGATCCCGATCTGGCAACTGTAAGAAGCGGGATGCGAGGAATCAGGGAAAGGTTACGCGTTCAGAGACTCTGTGAAGCAGAGGACCTGGGCTACAACGCATCGAATATTAGAAAAAGAATGCTGACCAGGGGCTTGTGAAGCCAAAGGTCCTGGAAGGGGCACCTTTTTTCGCTCTGCGGGGCAGATGATCCCTCTCTAAATCAGGTTTTCCATCCATGCCCAAGGTGGGTTCTGGCGCGGCACTGGATACTGGGCTTGAATTTGCCGGCCAGGGCTTGGAGAGAGGAGTTCCGCACCATGAGGCGCACACCCCCTACCCTCGCCCTATGTGCTACTCATAGTTGCGGTTCCCCTCCATTTTACACTAAAATTCAAAACCGGGCACGGTGGAATCTTCTGGAAAGGGGCTAAGATGGAACTCAGGAGGCGGGGGTCGGTGTGGAAAGAGCAGATGGATTATTTTTTCCTCTCCTGGCGAATGAGAAGCGCCCCCCGGCCACCCCTCCTCATGGACCCCCCCCCAAGCGCACATGCGCACTCGGATGGCGGGCGGATACTTAAGGGGCGGCCACCGCGGCTGCGGCAGTGCGCCCAACAGCGGACTCCGAGAGACCAGCGGAGCTCGGCTAACCGGCGGCCTTCGGCAGCACTCGCTCTCAACCACCCACCCACCACTCTCGGAACCATGGCGGCAGTGGCGGCAGCCTCCGCGGAACTGCTCATCATCGGCTGGTACATTTTCCGCGTGCTGCTGCAGGTAAGCGTGCCCGGGTTCCGGGTGGGAGTGGGGTCCCGATGCACGCCCCTTGAACCGGCAAGTTCGCGTCGCAATTGCCGCCTCCCGGACCCGTCCTATCCTGATTGCCGCAATCCCTGCCTGGCCGAGTGCCGCGGCCGGCACCGCGCGCCTCCGCCAGTTCCCTGCGCCCTCCTCCTCGCGCAGACCCTTCCCAGTGCGCCCGCGCCCGGCCGGGAACAAAGAGTTGGGGCGCGGCGGGCGCCAGCCGCGGACAATCACCGAGGCTCTTAGCGACCAATGCGGTAAGAAAAACCCGCTACACTCACACTCGATCCCAGGAGGGAGGCGGGGCACTTCTGTTTTACGAAAAGAGACTTTACAGCTCGCATAGCGAAAATTTTCCACCTTAAAAAATTGCGCATTGCAGGGCAATTTTCTTTAAAAAATATATAAATTTCGGGGATAGGACGAAAATTAAGTTAGAAGGCACTTCTGAGAAAAAAATAAAAAGCACTTTGCAAAAAAACCCCACAACTAATTAGAGAAAAAGTAATTCACGGGAAAAAATGAATTAGAGAAAATGCGCATTGCAGGAAAAATAAATTAGACAAAAGCACTTGGCAGAAAAAAATGCATTAGATAAAAAGCGCATTGCAGAAAAAAAAATTAGACAAAGGCGCTAAAAGAAAAAATGAATCAGATAAAAGCGCTTTGAAGAAAACAATTAGAGGAAAAGGCTCTTTGCAGGAAAAACGGAACAGAAAAAAATCACTTCCAAAAAAGGACAATTCACTTTATTTAAAAAAATCAAATAAAGGCAAAGCGCTTTGTGTAAAAAGAAATATATCAGAAGAAACTGCTTTGCCCACAAAATCATTTACCCTAAAAGCACCCCTCGCAGGGAGAATTCTCTTAAAGGAATCCTTTGCCAAAGGAATCGCATATTTCCTTCAAGGTGTTCCTGGAATGCTGCATTTACTGGGTAGGATTCGCTTTTCGAAATCCTCCAGGGACACAGCCCATTGCGAGAAGTGAGGTATACCTAAGTTGTGGTTCCAATCAGCTTGCCGCCATGCAGCCTTCAGCACAGCTGGAAAAGCTCCAGCTGCCCTGACTCGTGGACAAGCTGCGCCCGCGCCCGCCTCTCCTGGTCGGACAGGCGGGCGGGGCGGGGGAGGGGGCGGGGGCGGGCACGGCTGCACCGCTGACAGGCTGCGGGTGCCCCCCTCTCAGGGCAGGTCCTGGGTCTCTCTCCGCAGGTGTTTAGGTACTCCCTGCAGAAGCTGGCGTACACCGTGTCGAGGACCGGGCGGCAGGTGTTGGGAGAGCGCCGGCAGCGAGCCCCCAACTGAGGCCCCAGCCCCTAGCCCTGGGCGGCCGTATCACCAGGTGCTCCTGTGCATCTCCGCCAGCATGGGAGCCAGTGCCGCGCAGGAATGGGGGGTCCCCTGTGCTCTCTCACCAGAGGAGCACTTGCCAAGGTCAGTGAGGGGCCGGTAGGCCCCCGGAGAAGCAGCACCGACAATGACAACAATACCAGATCCTTTCCAAACCCCTTGCACCCTTCCCACTGCCGGGCAGGGTAGAGGGAGGAGGGGGGATTGGGGGAGCAGACCCCTGAGATCTGGGCATAGGCAATGCATTCTGATCTGGACCAAGTCGGGACAGCGCCATCCCAGCCCCGCAACCACGGCCATGCCAGCAGGCCCCACCACGGAGATCCAGACAGCCACACCAGCCAGCAGAATGGATGTTCCAACATCACCAAAGCCCTGAATCTCGGTGCAGCAGACAAGGCGCCAACTGCGTGCCAGTGTGGCGGGACTGGAGGGCAAGGGTGAGGGAGGAGGAGGGTTAAGAAATAGAGTGGGCCCTCTCACTGTCCCTTGCCTACGGCACGTGCATTCCAGCCTTGCTGCCTTTGCTCCCTCGATTCTCCGTTCCCCCTCACTGCCTCCCAAGCCCACCCCACCCAAAAGAAATGTGTCACTTGATTTGGACCTATACAACCAGTAAACAAATCCCATCTTTACTAAAACATCTTCTCCGAGCCCCCAGCCCCTCACTGATCTTGCTTTTCCCTGGTCTCACGCAGTTGTGGTCAATATTGTGGTAATTGCTAATTGTACTGATTGTATAAGTGTGCATTAGTTGTATCTCCCCAGCTAGATTGTAAGCTCCTGGAGGACAGGGACCACCTCTACAAAAAATAAAAAACCAGTACCTCCCCCGTCTCGCACAGTGTCCTAGGACCCTGCGGGTCGGTGGAGGCGCACCAAAAAGTTGTCTTGTGATTTCTTTTGTGGCTTCGACACATACTTCTAAGACTGGGCTGATGCACCCGTTGTGGAGTGGGCACACTACTTGGGGGGGGGGGAGGGAAGGAGGGAGGCAACAAAATAGGAATAAACTGAGACCCTCTCACAAACCCAGTTCCATCTCAACTTAACCCTGTCCTGAGATAAAGGACCACTTGCCCCTCTGCAAAGAGAAAGGCGGACATCTTCACTTGTAGTCTGGGAATAAGGGACCACTTACCCCCCAGACGGGTAGGTGCCTTCATTTGTCCTGGAATAAGGGGCCTGGGCAGGTAATCACTATGAAAGGTGGGAGTAGCCCTCAAAATGGGATACTAGGGACCTAGGGAGTGATCAGGACTTCAGAACACAAAGTCTTATCTCCATCCAGGAGCCCCCAGGAAATAGCACTGGGCAGGGTGGGCACTGGCTTGGACAATGAGTTTGGGATAAGAGGTGTGGTGTGGCACCTCCCCCACCCAGCTCATACCTCCAGGCCCTATAACCTCTACAAAGGCATCCTACCTGGCCTTGCTACTCTCTCCAGGGTCTCATCCCCCACCCCCAGGAACCTCTCTCCAGCTCACCCTCCCCATTAGTGGATTCTCTGCTTTTCTCAGCGTTAGCCTCCATATTGTTAAGGGTGCTTACCAGGTCCCAGACCCTGGACTCTCCCCTGCCATCATGTCAGGGTGGGTGGCTGGGCTGGCGGCTCAGCTCCCAACTTCTCTCCCCTCTCCCACTCCTCAGTGAGTCAGGGCTCCTTTTACGTGGAGTCAGCTGACTGCCTCACCAAATGGCCCTGCCGCCTGTTCAGCCTCGTCTCTGGCTTTATGTGTCCCTGTCACTACACACCTGTTCCTGGGTCAACACCAAGAGGAGTTGGAGGGCCATAAATCTCTCTTTCTGCCACTTCCTCAAATCCCTTAGTCATGGTTGTCACAAACACTTCTTGAGCAAAACACCTCACCCCCTTGAGCCTGATAACGTTTCCCTACCCTAAGCAAGCCCCTTGCATTTCTCAACCCACCTCATAACACCTCTAGAGGCACTTGTAACTTCAGTTCAGCATCAGAGAATTGGGGGCAGGGCAGGGTGCAGACCTCAGTTCTGGTATTTGCTTTGACGTCAAACAGCCCAGGGAACCTGGCCAGGTGACCTCCTACCCCTCACTTTCAGTTCCCCTCTGTAAAAGGGCTGCTAAGATTCCAGTAAACCCCAATACTAGAAATATTCTCCCATCAAAATGGCAAGCAGGACTCATGGGGCCTGGGGTGGGGATGTGCAATCCAAGACTCCAACTTCCTTAGGCTGGGTGCTTCCAGCTCCTATCATAGCCTGAAGGCGAGGCAGGTCTCCTCTTGCCCCAGGCTGACTCATTGGCAGGCAATGCCCACACCTCCCTTCTGAAGCCCATATCTTGGTAGGCTTCAAGACTGGGAGTATCTGTGGTTTTCTACACTAAACCCACAGAACCATGAACATATGTCAACATGTGTTCTCAATGTAGGCTGTCCCTCCCCTCAGAGCCTTCAAGGGGTGTGCCCACAGCCCCACCACCCCAGATGCTCTAACCTCAGCCCAGTTACAAGGTAGCTAGGTTCAGGGAGACAGGCCGAAGCAGCAGGGAAGGGTCTGGCTACTCGACACAGCAGGCCCCCCTTAGCCTCTTGTGCCCACTTTAAAAGGCAGGAGGCTGCTGGCAGCCCCAGGGCTTTCCAGATGATCTTGGCAAAGCCCATCTGTGGGGCTTCCTTCGTCCATCCATCGTCAGCAGGACTCTGAGCATGGCACAGTGAGACACGATGGACTTCCAGGCAAGGGCTGCCCTGGTGGCCTGCACTCGCATGGGTGGGCTTGAGTGTGCAATGTCCACTCCTCCCTTTCGTCCCCCTCCACCATGTTCTGGCAGCCAATACAACCCACCAGAGAAGACAGAAGCAATGCGTTCACTTTCTATTCCTGTGCGATGCCTAGAAGTCTGGTCCAAACACATCGTGTTTATAAATTTTTTTCCAGAAGCAATAACATTAAACATTTTATTCTGAGACAGCAATGGGAGGAGTTGAAATGACCAGAGTTTTATTGCAAAGACCTTAGTCTACAGGGCAAAATGTTCACAGGCCTCCCCTTTGCCTAAACTGTCTTCACCACTCCCACAAAACTTTGTTCCCACAAGGCCAAGGATAGAACTTTTGAGTTGTGAGGGGATGGGAATAGCTTTGTGGGACTCCAGCAACAGGCAACACTCTTGGGGCTAATGCCCCACAAAGGATGTTAGTTTCCTAGCCTAACCAGTTGAAGTTAGGCCCCCAGGGGGTTTAGGTACCATATCTTTCAGACGTGTAGGATGCTATGTGACACTGTTACCTCGATCTGTGGAGTATTTGGATTGTGACTGAAGGAAGGGGCGGGGGGACAAGTTTCTTGAGCTTCAGCTGCAGGACAGTAACAGCTTACCACACATGGGTTGGAGGAGGGAGCAGGTTTGTTGTGAGCCATTTGCTAGATATCTATTTTCAAGCTTGTATCTATCTACTCAGGAGCCAGCACCCTAGAGATTCTGAATTTGCAGGTTTATCCCCCGAGATTTAAACGCGCACTAGCGCAAGCACACACACAAAACATTAGTCTAACAACAGTCTCTTTTTCCCTGGTGACCTCTGACTTCCTCTATATGCCCCAGAGACATGTCACCATCTTCTCTGGGAATGATCCTGTTCACCACCCCCTCTTCCCCGTCTCCCTCCCGCAGGGCCAATACCCCAGCAGGATCCAGATTCCTGAGCAGTCTTAAAACAGGAAGTCAGAGAGGCAGGCAACACATGGTCATTGGTATATCACACAGTGACAGGCTTGAAATGGAATGCATATGTTTCAAAGATAAGAGATCAACAACAAAAGAGACAGCCAAACCCAGACTTCCAGATTCCTCTTTGTAACAACATATTACAGATAAAAGGTTAAACTGTTTTTGGCAGCAATTCTAACAAGACCAATTTCAGAGATGGAATTGATCTGGTCACTGGAAACCGACCAGGACTCCGAATCTTTTAACAAATTTGCTTGACATTAATTAGTCTTTGATTTAAAACAAACAAACAAGATCTAACACTTAGCATTAGCACTTAAGCTTGGAACTTTTGTTTTTTTGGTCCTGGATTTGGTGTTGCCGTCCAGAAGGCTGAGGGGATGGTTGGATCATGTCAGGCAGGGCAAACAGAAGCTGTCCCCAACACACCAGTTCCCTGAAAGGGATAAAACACGATCCGGACCTATAAACAGAAAGACCATTTCTTTCCTAGGACAGGCCCCAGTCTGTCCCAACATTTAGCATGGAAAAGGGACACGGAGGCCTGGAAGGAAATTAAAGAAGGTTTGGAAGGGGGAAGGAAAACGCAACTGTCTCCCATCCCCCATTCTTCTTTCCAGACCATTAGTGTGCCAGGCATTCCGTTCCCTCAGCTGCCCTTGAGAGCCACTCCCCATATACATTGGAGGAAAGGCAACGGGTGTCCACACTTGACGTCAAGTTAGCAAGAGTTAGACGCACCGGCGACTCAAAGCGCAGCGTCAACCTATTACCCCAGACACCAAAGCGAGGGCCCGGGGCGGGAGACCCTTTTCTTCCCTCTCCCGCAGGCCCCTTCCAATTTTGTGCAACTGAAGTGGCGGGGAGAGAGTGACAGGCCCCTCAGAAGCTGGGCCTCCTGCCAGGGGCCCCGGGGCCGAAACGGGGTGGTCGCGCCCCCCAGCCACGCGCTCCCCGGCTCTGCCTACCCCATCCCGGAAGCAGACAGGCGAGCGCTGACCTTGGAGGCCAGAACGAGAACCCAGGAGTCCGGTGACCCGCCCTTGGGCCAAGAAGGGACCCCCGAGGCCCAGGCTGGAGCCAAACAGGGAAATCACGTGACTCCGGACAGGGGTGGCCCGCAGGGTGCGCGGAAGGAAAACCCCAGCGAAGGACCGGGCGACGCCTAAGGTGACCCCGAAGGGACAACATGGCGGCGCGGCCGCACTGAGGGCCTCTCATCCCGCCCCCAGGAGGCCGAGGCCACGGTACCTGCGAGCCCTGCCATGGCGCCGCCGCCACTGTCGCCCTCGCTGCCGCAACCTGCGTCCACCTCAGCTCACCACCGACGCCGCAGGAAGCCGGGAGACGCCCCCTTCGTCTTCTAGTCGAGCCGGCCGAGGACCCCTCCTGGGCTTGGGCTGCCTACAGCAGACGCCTGACCAGACGACCCAAATTGGGGTTGCTCTCGCCCGACACCCCCTCGACATCCGCCACAGATGACCCTTTGAAGACTTTCTACGTACGTGTGCAGAACTCTGGGGGCTCCAAAGTCTTCAAGTCCGAAGAATTTTTCATCAGGCGCAGCCTGGGCAGTCCCACATTAAGGGCCCATGGTCCCCTCATGCATATGCAGCAGATTGTGATCTTGACTCATTGAGCGCCCAGGGGGCGTACCTTAGTCTCTGGAGGTGAGCTCGCGTTCCATATGGCCCGCGTGGATGACCCGTGTACTCCCGGAAAACCCTCTCGTGGCTCAAAGTCCGCCCCCTCCCTGGCCCTTTCACCAAGGGGCCAAAGCTCAGGAGCGGAAAGATCCGGGCTCACAACTTAGGACCAGACTTGAGTCAGGACCAGACTCCTCCGTTTGCGCACCCCAATTCCCAGCTTCCTCATGTCTGATGAAATGCCTACTTCACAGGGTTGTTCTGGCGCTCGAATGAGGCAGTGTATTCACTTATTAGCTAATTAAGCACATTCCTTGAACGCTTACTGTGTGTAAGTGCAGTAGTTAAGGCAAGAGGGTAGAGTGGAGGATGACAGGCTCTGTTCTAATCCCAAAGCGCTGCCAGTCTAGTGCGGGAGAGTGGGGGAGGAGAGGAAAGACAGTCATCAAATAATCACTACATATTAATAATTTTAATCAAATCAGTATATAATTATGCATCATGGGAAGTGCTGCAGGGGAAAGTCAAGAGTAGTATGAAAAATTAGTGGAGTCCTAAGTTAGGGTGAGAGGTGAGGGTGGACCCTCCTTGGGAAGCTGGCATTTAGGCTGAGGAACCAAGGACAATTAGGAATTGTGCAGGGCAAGAGTGAGAGGGGAAGTGTTCTAGGCAGAAAGAACCACTTGTCCCAGATGTGGAGGTGGGAAGGGGCAGAGTAAGAGGTGAGCAAGGAGTAGTGCGGGTAGCACCACCTAAAGATTCTGGATTTTATCTTGAGAGTGATGAGAAGCCGTTTTCATCAGGGGAATGATTCCAAATTTGGGTTTCTGAAAGACCACTCTGGCTACAGGGAAGGGCTTGGAAGGCACTTGGGAGTGGGTGTGGGGAGACCAGTTAGCAGGCTGTTGCAGCTTTCCAGGTGCAGAGTGATGGTGACTCAGATGGGGTGGTGGCTTGGGGAGCTGGGGAAGTAAAAGACGTAAGATTGCATGTAGGGGGAGGTGCAGAGGCATCGGCAATAACACTTAGGTTTTTGCCTTGAGTGTGAAGGAGTGAAGGAGCCCTTGACTAAGGTGGTGAAGCCTAAAGAAGGATCAGATTGAGGGAGAAGATCAAGAGTTTGGCTTTGAGAAGCCAAAGTTTGAAATGCCTGGCCAACCTCTAGGTAGAGAGGGTCAATAGGCAGTTTTATACGAGGCGAGAGCTCGGAAGAGAGGTCTGGGCTGGAGATACAGATTTGGGGAATATCAGCACACAGGTGATCATGGTCCTGGATGACATCCCAAGGGAGGGGAAGTAGATTAAAAAGTAGGCAGAGGAGGAGCCAACAAAGCAGCCTTAGAAACAGTGACCAGTGAGATAGGAGGAGGACCAGGTGAGTATGGGATCCCAGAGGGAAGGTTTCAAGGATAGAGTGCTCAGTGGGGCTGACTGCTGTGGAGGACAGAAATGGAGCCATTGGGCTTGGTTACAAGGAGGACTTATGGACTGTATCCTTTATGTTGGAAGTTCCAACAAAACCTTAAATCAATTGGCTTAAAAAAATAAGGAGCCTGCCACTCAATGGCAGGTTAATTGA